AAGTCACATATCTTTATGTAGATACCTGTGTGTATGTGTAGTAGTCTGTGCAATAGTATATACATATACACATTTGTATACATGTGTATATGTAAACTCATACATATATATTGTGAAAACATAATTAACATGACTATTTAAAAAGAAGTGTTAATTAAATTTTCAGCACTGCAAAAGGGAAACTTAGACAAATTATATTTGATGTATAAATTCTTTTCTTTTCTTTCTTTCATATAATTTATGATATTCTAATATAATGTCTTTCAAATACTTACTTTCAGTATATGTATTTTAGTGAGACTTAACCACTTTTATTCCATAGCAACAAGCTTATTTAAGTCCCTCCAAAATCGTATTCCATTTGCCATTCCTTGGTCATATACCGAAAGACATCCTCAAAAATGCCTTGATTGTTCTCTTAAAATAAACCTAATCAAGTAAAGGGTTATCTTCACAATTAGTATCTTCACAATTAGTACCTATCTGAGAACTGGATGACATTCCCCCAAAACAACCAGGGAACATTTCTCAAATTAATCTTAATTTGTACTTATCGATACACATTTGCTATTCTTTCATTGTTATTGTATTATGTCAAATATATTTGAAAGGATTTCTTCCTAAATAATTTTAACTAATAATTAATGAATTTCTCTGTTTAATCACCCTTCAAGAATAATATATTTATAGACAGCTGAAATTCTAAAGAGTGCAAGGTAAATTGCTATCAAAAATTGGAGGGTAGAGTACCCTAGCACGCTGCAAAACAAAACAAAACAAAACAAAAAACTGATGCAGTGTGTGTTACCATATATAACACATTGAATGATAAGACTCTAGGAAATAAAGTACAATGAAATGAAATTAAGATAATAGTAACCACACTTTATCTATTCGGAAAAAAAAAACTTTAGAACTTTCCTATGTCTAATATTGTCTTAATTATAATTATTATTATCTTACAGTATACTGTAGAAAAACCCCTGTTTGTTTTAATTTGAGGGTATTTGAATTCTGGATGAATAGATGTTTGTAGAAAGTAGTGAATACAATTGATTGCCAAGATTCTTGTGAAGTATCTTTCAATATTAGCATTTTTAGATCAATTTTCCCAGTATCATTATACCAACTATCTGGGCAGAATGTCAAGCTGATTTAACGAGGCTGTGTGCTTGAGATTTTGAGGTTGGTGCAAGCATCATAAATTCCTTAACAACTCTTCAAAAGGGATGAGGCCTGTGGGCCACCTGAAAAGGCTGCCAAATTAAGGTGAAGAATAGGACATCTCCATGTAACTATGGTAAAATGGTGCCATACAGGTAAGAAAGATTAAGTAAATCATGACATAAATAAAGGAGGAGAATTTTTGGTAGGGTTAGGGTTAGGGTTAGGCGCTTGAGGGAGGCAACCGATCAATGTGTCTCTCAGGTCGATGTTTTTTTCTTTCTCTCCTCCCCGCCCTCCTTCTTCTTCCCTTTCACTCTGAAAAGCAATAGACAAGGTGTCCTGGGGGTGAGGATTAAAAAAATAAAATAAAATGGCTTCTACACAACTGCCAGTCCCATGCAATAGTATACTTGGAACGTACCCTAACATGTAGACTCCTAAAGTGTGAGAACTGCTCCCTCCCCCAAATAAGCTTCTTTAAATATCTAGCTAAGTGTTGCTTTTTTAAAAAACTGTTTTTTATGTGACTAAGCACAGAAGCATTTTTATTTTAAATGAATGCTTTATATGGAAGTACATTGTGTAGAAGAGAGAAACCGTAGGTCTCCTCTGCTTGAAGTTGGCATTGAGGCCGAGCAGCCCTCCTACCTCCGCCTCCCTTGGGTTGAAGGGATTTCACCAAACCACTTGAACTCTGAGGATAGCTGTTTGAAAACCTTAGGCCACAGTCCAACCCCTTCATTCTATAAATAAATAAGCCCAGGCTCATAGAGGTGAAATTAGAGATAGAGCTTAGATCAGAGTCCATGTCTCTTTAATTTTCAATCCAAATCCTATTCTATTCTACTAAAACAAAATAAAGTGGTTACTTATTTAGGTTTAGTCATGAGGGCTTTTAATCTACAACCTAGAATGTTCTGATATAGTGAAAAGTTTTAGGTTTCAGGATGAGTAATAAGTAGAGCTGTTATTTTCCACCCAGGTGTTGCGTTTCACCTGTGGTGGCTGCTACCTGGTTAGTGTGGCCACCTCTTATAGGCAGGACAGATCTAGTCACCTAACATCTGAGTTAAACCCATAAGGATGGCAATCAGTGTATTTGAATTTTGTAGATCAAAATGTAACATGGGCATCCAATTTATCTACTGTTTGACAAGTGCCTACTAGGTATCAAGCCTTATGCTGTAACCTTGGACAAGTTTCTTAACCTTGGCATCCATGAGTTTTCCTGACCCATAAGTTGAGATAATAGTAGTAGTACTTCTCAGAGTTATAGAAAGGATTAAATCAGTTAATAGACCTAAAGCACTGAGAATGGTGCCTGGTACATACTAATTATTTTATAAATGTTAGCTATTATTCATTAACTATCATAATTTCATTTATCACTTGCAACTATCCTTCAAGGTAGGTATTATTCTTTCATATATAGAAAACAAAGCTCAGAGAGGATAAATTAAAAAAAAAATAAGAATGGGAGGATGCAGGGAGGTCAAGTAAGGAAGAATGTTATATGAATGACTAGCTGACAGTTTCCAGCACCCGTTTGAATGGAAATGAAATCCTAAAAGTAACTTTCTTGGCCTCACTGTGTGTTTCATTAATAAATCACCAGGCCTAGTCAGCCAATGGGCAGCTTCCAGAAATACTGGGTCAAAAATTAAAGCAGTCAGTATCATGGCTAAATAAACATTTTTGGCCCTAGCCAGTTTTTGGCTCAGTGGTTAGAGAGTTGGCCTGTGGACTGAAGGGTCCCAGGTTCAATTCTGACCAAGGGCACATGCCCGCTTTGCGGGCTGGATCCCCAGTGTGGGGCGTGCAGGAGGTAGCCAATCAATAATTCTCTCTCATCATTGATGTTTCTGTCTCTATCTCCTTCTCCCTTCCTCTCTGAAATTAATAAAAAATATATTTTTAAAAAAATAAATAAATAAACATTTTTGTTATCCAAATAAATATTTTTTTAAGTGACTTCTACTGCCCTGGCTGGTTTGGCTCAGTGATTACAGTGCCAGCTGCGGACAGGAGGGTTAGGGTTAGGGTATTTCCCAGCTACGAGTACATGCTCTATTCTGGCACCAAGCTAAGTGTGTTACATGAATTATCTCACTTGATGATTCCCATAATCCTCAAAATTCATGTAATTTCATAAGGAACCATAAGAACTACATAATTCATTTAAAACTGCACAGCTATTAAGTGGAAGATCTGAAATTCAAGCTTAAGTCTGAAGCCCATGTATGCTCCACTGCCGCACACGGGAGAAACAGGCCAGGGGGTGCGGGGGATGGATTTCTAGCACTCCAACAGGTGGGAAGGGAAGAGATGCTCTTTGGCATTCTTGCACAATTGCATACCAGGCTTGGAAAGGTCACAATATTATCGCTTTCCAGTTGTGTGACTTGACTTTCTATTTACAGTCACCTATGGTTCTCAGGTTTGGGGATTTCAAGGCCAATAATATTTCAAAATATATTTTGGGAGTCAACATAAGGCTGCCAATCTTCTATTTTGCCAAGTAAAGATATTTTTAAACCTATCATTTAGCATCATTGACACTTCAGTGAATGAAAACTTTTAACACACATAAGCGCACATGCACACACATTTGTAAGTCCATGGAACTAGGAATGTTGCTTGCCTTTGCCTTCTCTCGCGGCTGGTGTGTACATGCGGACACGCAGGAGTTCCCAGCAACAATCGTGTGATGCAGTGTGCTGGGAAAATCATTATTTGAAACTTGGAAAACCTTACTCCACAACACAAAACAATACCATTATAAATGGTGACTAGGTTCCCTTCCTCACAAGGTAGATCTAGACTATCTTATTTTGAACATGAGGTGAGGCCCTAGAAGGTTAAGCAATTTCCTTAAATAACACACAAGCTTTTTCAGAGCCAAGACTAGAAGTGAGTTATCCTGACTTCATTCTCTTTTCATCACCAGGGACAATAATACTATCACTTTCACTAGATATATAAAATAACATTTAACATTGTAAGTTTAATAGGCTTTTGGAGGGATAGCTTTGGAAATGCACCACTATTTTTTAAAATGGTTGTGTGAAAAATGCAACCTGTAGCAGGAACATTTACGCAAACATGACTGTTATCACAGACACATTCCCTTTTTTACACCCCGCCTCCCCCAACCACCATGGCAAGAGAGCAGGGGGGATCCACTTCTATCCTCCAGAAAAGGATAAGCATTTGACTTTTAATATCAGGAGATTATAAATCTGTGTGTCTCTGAGTACATTTGCCCCTCATCAGTACTCAATATAAGAGTAAAATCGGGTCACTGTCATGTAACCAGGGACTAGTCATTAACATAGCCCTTAAGTTAGAATCTTATTTCCTGTGCTGTTGGCTTAGCATCCTCCCTGCATTTTAAAGAAAGCCATCACCTAAAATATCACTTGAGGCTGGTACTCTGTAGAGAAATAAGAGTGTGCAATCTACACAAACTTGTAAAATTCAAATGTATCTTTTTCAGAGGGATAGTAATGAATGTATTAAACTAAGAAAACTCTTAGTTCAAGGAATAAACGATCAAAGGTGACCACAGGGATGATAAGACTCCAAACAATAAATTTGCTTATAGTTTTAAGTTTGTAGTTATTAGCCCAGCCTCTCTAGTGATGACATATATATGACATATTATACGTGTATGTATGACCATGATCATTACATACAATGAGTATTATATGTATAAGTATTATTTATGTGACATATAATATATAGCATTACATGTTAAATATAGGTAATACACAAAGGATTTAGAAAACCAATATCAAATAAAGCATTTCTAATTATGAAAAGTGGCATCCTACTTGAGAACTTCAATTTTCTTCTCCATTTTCCAAGGCTTGCATTTGACATTAGCAATCATTTGTCTTTGCTCATCTAACTCTGCCTTCAATCTTTCCAATTCCTCTTCATCAATTTCATCATCTTCGTCCCTTTAAAAGGAAAAAAACTTAATAAATTTATGTCTTACTTGACTTCCAAACTTAAAGAAAAATGAGATCAGAAACTCAGTCATTTATCAACTTGGCTGTACATAGTGGCTACTGATATCCATAAGCATTGGGGCTTGCCCCTGAACACAGATTCAGGATTTCTGGAATTCCCATAACTTTAAAGAATAGCATTTACATTCTGATGGCCTGAAACTAAGCTGTTCTGATATAAATAGTCCACAGACTCAAACTCTCAGAATAGTTACAGATCTATCATTCAGATTATTTTCTCTCCTCTTTGTTCCTTATACATTGCCCCTGCCAATTCCATATTTCATTTTTAAACTTTATTTTTCAGTAAGGATAGTAAATAAGAGATGAAGATGTCTTTGAAGTGCCCTTAAATTTTTCAAGTTAGCTTTGACTCCAGAGAAAGAGAGAAAAATTGAAATGGGAAAAAATAAAAAATTCGTTTCTCAAAGCTCACTTAACCTTGTAATTAAGCTCAAAACTTCAATTGATAAAATTCAATTTGAATTATATTTTGTGGAAGTAAGTCCTTTGAAGAAGCTTTCAAGGGAATTTAGTTTCTTACTGAGCAAATGAGCTATTTCTTTTCTGTGTTCCTTGTATTGTTAAAATATTATAGGGTCCAGAACTCGAAGAAAATGAAATGAAAACATGAGCAACATAATTTTAAATGGAGGAATGTCATGCCATATTGTAGAGATCAATTTTTTTGGTAATATTGTTTCTTCAAACTCACCTTTTTGTACTTAATATTGCAATGCTGGGTCTGGGATTCTAGGGCACATTTCTGCTTTGTCAGCTGGCTCAGTACTAGGTTGCCAATAGGTTGATACTAAGAAGGAACTTGGTCTTTCCTTTAGTTTTGCTTGCTCCTCTGGGGTGATGCTCCCTCCTTATCAATGCTTCTCCCCTGTAGGAGCTTCAGGGCTCCCACAGCTGCATGGGACTCTAGTTGGCCAATGTTTCCAACACTAGCAGGATGAGCTTTATCACTTGAGCACGTCCCCTCTGCAGTGGTTGATAGCTCTGTAGGTCCCTTCTCGATGCTTCTCAGTTTTAATTTCAATCTCTTTTCATTGATCTTCTAGCCTTGCCCTTGGGTGGTAGCTATTTCCTAAAGTTGCTATCACCATGATATGTTAGTGCTCTCTTTTCACTTTTCCAGTAACCTAGTTAACAATTATTTATTATTTATTAAGTAGTCCCTCTGTTAAGTGCTCTTGGTTTAATTAACTGTTGAAATTTTTTTCTACTAACTAGACCCTCACAAAGACATTGGGATCTCACTCAGAGTTAGTCAAAAACATATTTTGCTGCTCACTAAGTTTTATGACTAAACACAGTAGGAATATGGCAAAAGCTGTTTTTGAAACTTCCAGTTGAGAAACACAAGGACATACCCATAGTTTTATAAGTCACCCTATAAAGTGACTTTGCAATCTCCTCTCTTACTCACCAACCCATATTTAATCATATCATGATTGCTAAAACAAAATTTCATATTAACCTTCCCAAATAGCACTTCCTGTTGACAGTTGGGTTTTTGGCCAATTCAGATATTTTTGCTTAGAATAGTTATCCTGACTCAAGAGAACTATAAAAGGACACTCGACTAAAATGCAACTCTGATTGCCATTAGGTTATTTCTGTCGTAATTACTTGGTGTTTACTATACAAAAATCTTATGGTGACATAAATACCTGAGGATATTTTTAGTACATCTACAGCCAGTTTGCTTTTTAATTTGCCAAATTAGAATAATATGTGAGTTGGTTTGTCCCGGGAGGAAACATACATTTTAGTAAAAATTACTCAAAATATTATTTCCAAGTAGACAGAGACTAAACCTAAACTATATAGATAATTGTTTTACTGAAATCTTTATGGAAACTATCAAAAAGAAAATATATATGTGTGTCAAGAAACTATCAAAAATGTATTCAATTAGAAAACCAAAAAGGATTTAAGATTAATAATTCAATTGCTTGATATTTTAAGTCTTTAACTTGTCCACCCTCCCAAAATAATTCACAATATTTACACTTAAGTACTTTAGAGCTTAATATTACTGAGTGTCCATTAAGAATCATACAAAACAGTACCTGATTTAATCCAGCATCATAAAAGAATGAAAGAATGATCTATTCAATATGCTAGTATAGATTTACCATGCAACTAAACCTTATTTCTTTAATACCAATTTTTAGAAACCACTTAATAGAAACCTAATAACACTAATTACATGCTTTACTGATATTTTAAACCCAGTACATACTTAATATGTGTAACCTATCCAAATTCTATGATTCCTTCAAAAATCATAATAAATATTTTCAATAACCCCTTTTCTGATTATCCCTATGAGAATAGTTTTCTCTTCTCTAACACTTCTAACCTCTTTGTACTTCTTCTGTGGCACATTTATACTGTCTTGTTCCATAATATTTTGTGTCTATGTGGCCTCTCCCTTATCTATATTATAAATTTCTGAAGAATGCAGGCAATTGCATGTTCATATCCATGTATTCCAAAGACATGAGCAAATTATCTTCCACAGAAGTGGAGCTGGATAAATATTTATTGAATGTGTTTATATATAGAATTTTTTTGGATGATGTGTTATTATTAACCCATGTGCTTGAAGTTTACTGAAATATAACAATGTCTTCCAGTATGGTATGTAAAGACATTTATTCCTACATTAATTGATCCCAGACTGGTACATTTTTTAAGCTTTTGTTGTTAATGGTTGATGGCTGCAGGTGAATCATGCTGTGCTATAAGGTAGGGCTGTTGGATGAGCTACCTTCACATATTATTAAAATATTTTCACCAGTATTACAGGGAAACTGCTTTTCTAGGAACCACTCAAAAAAAGTGCTAATCATATTAAAAGAATATAGCACAAACATGCTTCATCTTCTAAAATTTAGGGCTAATTTATGCAAGCATGGCTTTCTATCTTAAGTTTGATTTCTTTAAACAACAGATGTTAGGAAAAAGGAGGCATAATATGCTGAATTTCTCACTGCTATGAACATATTACTTATTCACTTAAAACTGGGTCAAGAATAACCTGTAATCTTATTAGAAATATTCCAAAATGTCTAACAGGGCAGTGTTTTTTTAACCATCTCCAAAGATAGCATTATAACCTTGGTTTTAGTTGGTTTCAAATGTTTGGTCAGCAACAAGGGAAATTCCCTAAGGTGTTTCACTTGAACATTTAAATTTTAAAAGACGATGAATTAACTAACCTAAATAAATGTGCGCTGATTTGCCTACTAATCTTTCTCAAAATATATCTGCTAACACATTCTTTTTTAAATGATACTTGTCTTCAAAATGAACAATAGAAAATGGACCTTTAAACAGATATCAGAACTATCGATCATCCCAAATAATGTATGATACTATTCAAAATAGTTGCACAAATTTTAACAACAGCATTATAACTGGCAAAACCCATGAAGACGAAGTTCATTTTAGCCGAGTTTGGCTCTGTGGAGGAGTGGGGAGGTAGGGAAGCAGGGGTGGGTTTCTGAGGACCAGCTAAGGATGAACACTGTCAAAGGAACAAGATTCCCTCAAGCAACAGGGGCCAAGACCTGGCTGATTCTTATAGTCCAATCCCTAGAGGTTGAGCAGCTGGCATGAGTGCCTTAAGCAAACTGAGAAAGCAGAGAAATTCCCACCCAACTCACTTTTTTAAAAGGACCTCTTATCAGTGGAGAGCAGAGGCAAATTCTAGAGTACAACCTGTGTCGTGCATATGTATTGGTGATGTGTTCTCGGTGAAATACTACTGTCAGATGTATAAGCTTTGCTAATATAAAATATTACTAAAAAACAAGTATTAAGACACAGAACGTAAAGTATGTTGTCTTTTATTTTTAAAAGGAACAAAGCATACAGGTATTTTAAAAGAAAACACAAAAAATGCCAGCCAGTCCTGGCTGCTGTGGCTGTTGGTTGGGCATTGTCCCGTGTAGCACGAGGTTGCTGGTTCAATTCTCAGTCAGGGCACATGCCTCAGTTGTGGACTCGATCCCTGGTAGGGGGTGTGCAGGAGGCAGCTGATCGATGTGCCGTTCTCATATTGATGTTTCTCTTTCTATTTCACTCTCCCTTCCTCTCTCTCTAAAAACCAATAAAAATACATTTTTTAAATGCCAGAGTTAAAATTTAAAGCAGGTGGTGCCTGGGTTATAAAAGAAAGAAGAAAGAGAAGAAGGTTGGGAAGAAGGAGAACGAAAAGAAAGAGAAGGAAGAAGAGGAGGAGAAAAAAAGAGGAGGGACATTTAAAAACATATATTAATAAAAATATAATAAAGGTTACTCTTTTATTTTAAAAGGAACCACACTCTATTAATACTAAGCTTCTCTACCTGGCATAATTTTCATACAGTTGTTTTTCATTGTGATTACTTATAGGAGGAAAGTGATAGCTAATCACTGAACACTAGAGTGTGTCGTCATCTTGAAAGGCCATCTTAGAAAGTTCCTCATCATTTAGTCCAGCGGTCCTCAAACTATGGCCCGTGGGCCACATGCAAATACAAATATTGTATTTGTTTCCATTTTGTTTTTTTACTTCAAAATAAGATATGTGCAGTGTGCATAGGAATTTGTTCATAGTTTTGTTTTTTTAAAACTATAGTCCGGCCCTCCAACGGTCTGAGGGACAGTGAACTGGCCCCCTGTTTAAAAAGTTTGAGGACCCCTGATTTAGTCCTAGGAGTGTTTGGGAGGAGATCTCCTCACCTGGTAGTGATTCCATGGTCCTACCACCTGGGATTGGCAAGAGTGGGTTGGCTATTCTCTTAAACCCTTTCCAAGGGATCTAGGATTTCTATGATTAGATTTGTTTACATACATAGTTTTCCAACCTGTCTGCTATCTACAAATTTCTGGAAAGCAAAGACCAGAAAATTATTTTCTTGGATTTTCCCTAAACAGCATTTGATATATTATTCTACACAAAGTCAGCACTCAGCAAAATGTTGGCCTGGTGGAACTAAAAAATAAACAGTGCATTAAAAGGAAATGACCACCCCAATCCTCTGCAACAGCAGGCCGTACACTTTTTTTTTCTGTGAAGGGAGAGATAGTTAATATTTTAGGTTTAGAGTGCTACATGCAGCTCTGTTCCATATTTGTCTTTTTTTTAAATTAATAACCCTTTAAAATGATAAGAACCATTGTTAGCTCTTGGGCTAGAATTAGCCATAGTTTTCCAATTCCTGCTCCATAAAATAAAATGATTGGGGCTCATTGTTTAGGACTTTTCTACTTCAATAATAATGAATATAATCAGTGGGATCTATTTAAAACTTTTAAATTAATTATATGTTATGAACTATGACAATTTAGATCTCTCATATGAGAATTCCTCTTAGGCCATTTTTTAATATACATTGATTTATAAATTCTATTTTAATATTAAAATACATTTAACTAAATGGAGTAAAATGGCAGTATCAAATTAAGCCTGTCTTTCTAAAAGTAGTTTTAATTACCAATTTTAAAGCCAAAGAGTGCCTAAAGGGCATGGTCTTCTTTCAGCATCAGGTGCTTTTGAATGAATAACAATTTCAGTTAAAGATCAGAACTAACTTACGCTCCCCTCCTCAACTTCTTCTTCCTCTCTTTTTCTCTGGCCTTCCTTGTTTCTTCATCCTCTGGTTCAGGTGGTAAGTCTTCCTCTTTAATAACATCTCTGGTCCGTTTCCTCTTAGGTCTCATGCTCTCTCTTCGAGGTAATTTATCTTCATCCTCCTCTTCCTCTTCACCTAAACATACCAGTTAATGCTTCAGTAAGCAATAGCAGAAAGTGTTCTTTCCTGCTACCAAATGTATTCTTATTTTTTAATTATACTGTCACACATCTGACACCACAATCCAGAAATTCTCCATATCACGGTAAGATGTACTTATTATGCTATATATATTTCATAGCCTGCCATACACATAACATTTACCTAAATTATCATTTCTTTTGTGGTTCATCTACTCAAATACGTGAATGTGGAGCTACAAATTTTAATAATCTTTAGGATTCCAGTCTTCATTTACTTGGGTAACAAGATGACTTGGAATTTAATATCACATTATGACCTTTAAACCAAGTGTAGAGGTTACCAATCCAACACATAGGGCTGACTGATTAAACACTATGTGTTTACTACTACTTCTATCTTAGAACAAAGCATAGCAATGACAAGGAAAGGCTATAAACTAGAATAATTTTGAAGACATTAACAGCCCTTGAGACTTCTCCTAATTTAAATTATCCTCATTTCTGATTCCAAATATTTCTTTCTTCTTTTCCCTAAATATCCCTTTCTCAAATGAAATTGATAGTAAATAAATTTGCTTGATCATTTGATCTGAAGGAAGGGGAATAACTTATAAATACAAATTCAATGTAAACCTGAAAGAAATGATGTTTTTGGTTTTTTTTTTTATCAATTAACAATACCTCATTTGTCTATAATTTCTTAGGAAGCTTCCAGGTAAAGAGTAGAAAGAGAATTCAGTTCCTTCCTTCACAGTTTATCTTATCTAATAAAAGGGTAATATTCAAATTACCCATCACTCCATCACAAATATGGTGATGCCTGTAGCCACAAAATAGCGGTGCCCAGTTCCCTGAGCCCCGCTGGAGTCCCCCAGTCTTGGGGGGCAACCGCTTAGAGTGGGCAGCATGAGCGGCCTGGTGGAATGCTTGCTTCATCGCTATGGCGATGAGGCAAGCCTTCAGCCCCAGCTGCAGAGGGCCTCTGGGCAGCAGGCGCAGAGCGGCTGGGGCGGGCCACTTGGTTTTTCGCCACGGCAATGAGGCAAGCATCCTGCCCCAGCCGCAGAGGGCCTCTGGGCCATGGAGAGCCTCTGGGCAGCGGACATGAAGCGGCCAGGCTCTGCAGAGAGCAGAGAACCATGGGGAGTGGGCCTAAGCCATCAGGGCTCCCGTATTGGAGAGGGCTCCCTTGAGGGCTCACAGATTGGAGAGGGTGCAAGTCAGGCTGAGAGACCCACCCTCTGTGCATGAATTTCATGCACCAGGCCTCTAGTAACATATAATCCTACTTCACTTTCATCTTTGTGAAATTTTGATATTCTTAACTTCTTCTGATATTTAGAATCAACTACTATAAAAATCAAATATTACTCATACTTATTACTATCCCTTTACTTTAAAGCTACGGTAGGAAAAAATTTATACTTCAATGGAAAATTATAAATTGTCTGCAACATAGCCTTCTGTGTTATCTGATTCTGATTTTGGGGAGCTGCTTTGTAATTCAGTAAATTATAGATAACTGGATAGTAATGCAAAATAATTATTGTATGCAGACACACAAAAAACTGTTTAGTTGAGAAATAATCATCCTCCACCAAAAAAAGAAAGAAATAAAAAACAACCCACAAAACAGTCATGTCTTCATTTGCATATCATTTCAATATTCCTGATCTAAAATTGTGTCTGTTCTTTGGATTTGCCTTTGAACTGATTGTCATGCCTCATCACATTCCTCATTTAATAGTTAAATATGTTCATTTTTGCATATGCATTTGATCTTTTAACATTTGTTATCCAAACTTTTTTACTTATATTTCAAATCATTGCCTACGTTACTAAAGTTTGGTTAGCACGGAAACTAGGTTTTGAAAACTACTCTGTTATCAAAACCAAAAGTGACTTTCCACTGGTTAAATATTGTGGCAAATGCCATATGTTATCTGCATGTTCTGCCATTCTGAAAATGTACCAAGCCTTTATTAGGCACATTAGTCTCTGATTATAGAAAGGACAAAGCTTGACAGGGATTGAGGAACAATTTCACCCACAAATAACTCAAGAATTCAAGCAGCCGCTTAATACTCTACATTTTAGTATATTAAGGTATTAAAGGTAAATGATTAAACTTGCACTGTTTACCATGGATGGAAAGTGTATCATTAGATTTATCTTTTACCACTTAAGAACAAAAGGCAGTCTTTAGTACTTTAACTAATTTCCAAATATTCAAATTCTAAAAATATTAATGTTTGCAGTTGCCTACTAAATGCACATTTGCATATAATGTTACCTTTTGGAATGGTCTCAATTCAGTATTAAAGGGTAGCAGAATATGCCACTTCAAAATATGACTGTTGGATTTCAAGATATACTACCCCAAAATATGCCACCTTGTTACGGTGATTACTTTGAGCTGTAGACACTTTTAAAACAGCAAATTCAGAAACAGGCTTTCTCTGAACTCCCTTATCTGCCTAAGGACACAGCCTCCAACCGGAATTCAATTATCATAAATCCTCTCCCCAGGAGTTTCATCCCCAGGGAAGGTTGACACATCCAAGGACAGAAGACTAGAAACAGACACCATTATCTCGGCAAACTTTGTCGCAAACTATCATACTTCCCATGTATTCTTCAAAGGGCCCATTCATCTTTCCTAAAAATCATTTATTCTCTCTTAAAAGGCCAATATCCCCCTTCCTTTTTCCTATTAAGAGTATTTACGTATAATTCTAAGCCACTTCAGATAGTTTACTTAGTTTTTCCTTATCACTTATATATGATATAAGTGTTAAGAAACTTGTCTGTGTTTATTTTCTCTTGTTAAACTGTCTTATATTACAGGGGTCTCAGCTACTAGTAAAAATTTAGAAGGGTAGAGGGAAAAGAATTTCCCCACCCCTACAGTATTCAAGCCATGGTATCCAGGATCTGCGTGAGATTCTGGGCTGTTTTCATACGAATGCACCAAATTAATAAAAACAAATGGCATTGTGAACATTCGCTGGTGGCCATCTTGAGCTCAGGTTATTAAATTCATAGTGTTGATGTATCATCTAATTGAACTATTCTCAAGATGCAGCTTTTCCTTTCAGTTTTGGTACATTTGAAGCTTTTGCTCACATAATGATTTTTCTAGCCACGAGAGAGCTGCATGTCTGGAAAGGGGTTTCAATCCTGGCTCTTGCCCTGAACCTACACAAAGTAAAAACAACAGAGCAATTTGGGTAAATTACAAAAGAACTTGCTGATTCATTTTATTTGAACCACCTGCTCAGTTCAATCAACATGGCCAATCTGTTTCATTGTAATAGGGTCAGCCTTAGTGAAAAGCTTTCAGGACAAAGACTTTAACAGGGAAAATAGTAGAGAAATAAAAAAGCAAGTTTTCTAGACTACCAACTTACTTGATCATTAGTAACTTATAAACTGGGTGGAATGTGTGTGTGTGCCACCTGAGTGGAATATGGAGTGGAGATTCCACTTGCTGGACTTGACCTCTTTTGTGAGATCATCAAAAAAGTCAGCCACACATGTTCCCGTGCTTACATGTGGTAGCATAATCCCAAATGATAAGAGGATGAATGCCCTGAACTCGATGCTTTTCCACAGGAAACTTATCTCGAGTGTGCCCAGTCCCACTTACTTGAACTTTCCTCGGTATCATCTTCATTTTCCTCCACTTGGATTTGTACTGTTGAAGAAAGAAAAAACATAGTGAGTCTTTAATTGATGGTACAATTGTCAGTCACTGTATTTTACTGATATTACTTTCATAATAAAGTTAATAAAAACACTTTCAGTAAAATCGTCCAAATGAGCACTGTATATTAAAAATCTGCAGCTACAGCTCCTTATACAGTGTTGTACAAAGACTTTTCTGCTACATCGCCTTCAAGCATTTGCAAAACATCAATTATAAGCCTGTCAGATCAATTTAAAATAGCTTCAACCAAAATAAATTCTGCATTGCAATAATTAGACTTGGGGTTTGTTCAATTATTTTATTCTATGAAAATTGAATTTTTACTAAAGCTATATCCACATGCACAATTTGGTTATTATAACCAAATTAGCTTATTAAAACAGATAATATTTCATTCTATCTAGCTAACCAATGTCAAAGAGCCTTTCAAAAAATGCCTAAAGACTGATATTTCCTATTTCAATAGTTTCTGTTAGTATTATATGGATACAGCCTACATTTTCTAATATATGATTTACCTTGACAATGGGCAGATAAGTGATATTACAGTTCTTCCTAAGACAAAGAATATTTCTTCTATTTATCTCTCATCCCATACTGAAACAGTATCTTGTTTTCAGCTTTTCTCCACTTGTATAAAGGCATATAAAGATTTTATAAAAATTTTAATATAAAGTAATGTTGGAACATATATTAACTGGCAGATTTTTTTCCTTGTTAACTATTGCTCATTCATTGCAGGTTTAGTCAACCAGAGACAAGCAAAGCTCTGTGACTTGGCATGGTAAACATTACAGCAGACTATTTCCTTAGAATCTTGGTCTAGTAATTTATTTATAAAATATTAATTTTATATTTTTATTTAAGGTGGATGAGCATAAGTTAAAAAAAAATCAAAGATGACAATGTTGCTGTGAGCCTAGGAAATAACCTCCGGTTTTGTTTCTGCTCACACGACTGTCAAAGCTTACTATTCAGAACTTAACAGGCATATTGAAAAGGCAGCACATGCCAAGAGCCTAAATTCCATTCACAAAGAAGATTATTGTAAAAGCACTTTTTGCCTTTAAAAAGCATCTGCATAAAAATTTTTAGAATATGCAAAAATGTTATCACTCCACGTCAGCCATGCAGTGTGAAAATAAGTGTTCTTTTGTTCAGGGTGGACATGTGCCTTCTGTCACTGGCTGTAACTGCATCTGCACAAAGATCTTTAAGTCACCACTGAGAGTTCGCAACAGTGAAGGCCAACACGGCTAAGAAGATATTCTATATTCAACAATAGGCCATGGTCTTTTATTTGCAATTAATGCCACCTCCTCCAAGCTTCTTCAATCAAAGGAGACTTCCCTAGGAAGGCATAGTAATGTGATAAGATAGGCCTTGGGGCAGAGTCTGGTCAGTGTGTGTATAATACAGAAACAGCTAAGGACACAGAGCAAAGGCTGCTACACAGTCTATTCTACAACATGCTAAAGCAAAACTTCACGCTAAATATTATGCTGATTTATGATAATCAACCCACTAGACATGATTAAATATAGTTAATTAAATGAAATAGGAAAAAAAAACCTAAATGAACAAAAATGTAAGAAAATCTTTAGGAAGGATCATATATTAAATAAATGCAGCAGCATGAAATGCCCCAAGCCAAAGAGAAGAGCAACAAATCCATTTCCTCTGATAACAGGAGAGAGAAAAAACAGGGCTGGAACATAGGTCACCTTTTCAGGTACAAGAAGGCTAGTCATAAACGACCATTAAATGAAACCTGAAAATCCGTTAGAGGAGACATCCTGGTGGCTGCAAGTAAAGAACTAAAACGGAGCTATGGCTTCCGAACGATGTAGTGGGGAGTATTGCAGACATAGCCCTCCCCTCCTCTGACTGACTTTCTAACAGAGACGGCCTCAGTCAGTGCGTGATCATCTGCACATTCTCCTTAAACGCCCTCTTTACTCAATCCACTCCGTTGTCTGGCAGTTGAGTCAGGGGCCATGAATAGTCATTTTTAATAGTTATTGTGATCATAATTGGTTTGTTCTTAATGAAAAGGGTCAGCAAAGGCAGCCTAGCTGGTTTGGCTCAGTGGATAGAGCATCAGCCTGAACACTGAAGAGTCCTAGGTTTGATTCCAGTCAAGGGTAGGTGCCTTGGTTGCAGGGTCGATCCCAGGCTCTGGTTGGGCCACATGCGTGAGGCAACCAATTTATGTGTCTCTCTCCCATGGATGCTTCTCTCTGTGTGTCTCTCCCTCTCCCTTCCACTCTCTCCAAAAATCCATGGAAAAATATCCTCGGATAAGGATTAACAACAACAACAAAAGGATCAGCAAAGGCATCATCAGAATTGAGAACTGAACTGCAGCACTATGGCCCAGCTGGCTTGGCTCAGTGGTTGCGCGTTTATCTATGAACCTGGAGGTCACGTCTTGATTCCGGGTCAGGGCACATGCCTGGGTTGCAGGCTTGATCCCCAGTGTGGGGCATGCATGAGGCAGCTTATCAATGATTCTTTCTCATCACTGATGTCTCTCTCTCTCTCTCTCTCTCTCTCTCTCTCTCTCTCTATATATATATATATATATATATATACATATACATACATATATGTATTTATTTATTTATTTATTTATTTATTTATTTATTTATTTCTGCAGCACTATGACCAGGTTATTGAAGACTCCATTGTGAGCCTCAGACCACACTAGATTTTTTTAAAATGTATTTTGATTGATTTTAGAGAGGAAGGGAGAGGTAGAGAGAGATAGAAACATCAATGAGGAGAGAGAATCACCAATGGGCTGCCTCCTGCACGCCCCCTACTGGGGATCAAGTCTGCAACCAGGGCATGTGCCCTTGACCAAAAGGGAACCCGGGACCCTTCAGTTCACAGGCTGATGCTCTATCCACTGAGCCAAACCAGCTAGGGCCAAACTTGATTTTAATGGACTGCTATTTGGCCTGAAAAGCAACTGTAATGCTGCTCTGTATCTCCTGCGACTCAAATTGATGCTAAAGAACCAAGCTAAAAAACCCCTCCAAGACAAAAAGCCTGTGCAAAAGAAACTCAGAACCCTGAAATGGGAGCTACAGGCTGTCTTTCCCTTCTCAGACAATGTGTGGCATGGCCTCTTGCCATCCCTCCTCTCAGCAATCCTAGTAGTTTATTTCCAACTATATGACCTCTTCATGCTTTGGCTGCTTCCCAACGCCTATTGATTATGTACTTTAAAAATAAACTCTCTCCTGCAGAGTGACTTGGAGGACAGTGAATAAGAAGAAGGGGAGGTCCTGTCAAAATGCTGGAGGCAGCAAGCTAAACTACATTGAAGTAAGCTTATTTAAGACAGGAATATGCAATGGGAACAGATGAACTCCTAGGCAACCCAGATCCTGGTTTCATGCAAATAGACCCAGTAATTAAAAACAGTAAAAGGAAAACAACAGCAAAATGTCACATTGCAGAAGCACTGGAATCGTTCAGCAAAGCGGATATTGTTCCAGGCTTTCCTTTTTCATCTACAGCACTGCAAGTAGTTTATGGTGCCTCTAGATCAGAGTGGCCAAGTGGCTGAAAGAGTTAAATGATATTTCCTGTCCCTCTGACTCACATTTGTAACTCTTCAAGGGATGTTTGGAGCACCAGGTTATTACTTTGGAAACTAGAAATTCATTCATTCCATTAGCATTTACTGTACACTCACAAGAGAGTACAGAGCAAAATTCTCAGGGATGGGAGTTTGCAGACTGTAGAAGAAAATAACACTGCGGTTCAGGAGTCTTACTACTTATAGAAGTGAGGTCTACAATTAGTTATGAGTATCTTATCCACCTTATTTGGGTTTTGTGGCAATGTTTTAGTTATGTATTTTAGGCTTTGGGGGGTAATTCTTTTTGAGGTTCCTTTTTGTGTATGAGGAAATGTCAATATCCGGCCCTTGCATATAAATGGGATACCTTTCACCTCAGACTAAACTACCTGAGAGAGATATTAAACTATGCTGTAACAAAGACATTTCCAAATCAGTATGGGGTGTGGTGTGGGATGTGAGAGGAAGGGAAAAAAATCAAGGACAACCCCAAGGATTTTGGCCTGGGCAATGAGAAAGATAGAGTTGCAAGACACGGAGAGGGGAAAGCTATAGGGAGAATATCATAAATGGGAAAATTAGGTTGAAGATCAGTTTAATTTGACATATTGGATTTAAGATGCCCATTAGACATCCAAGCTTATGGTGAGTAAGCAGTGGGTATTTGTATCTAAAGTTCAGAAGAAAAGTCTTGGCTGTAAATATAAATTTTGCAATTATTAGCATTTTAATGTATTTAAAGACTAGGTGGGGTCTCCAGGAAAATGAATGTAAAAAAAAAACACAAACAAACAAACAAAACAGAAAAGTAGACTCCAAAGTTGAGAGGACAGGGAGAAAAAAACAACCAGAGACTGAAAATGAACAATCAGTGAAGTAGGAGGAAAATAGGAGATTGTGGAAGGCAAGTGATATGTATCAAAGAGATATGTCTGAGGCATGTTAGTCAAGTACTAGGAGAACTGAAAATTGACCACTGGATTTTGTAATGTGGGGGGGGTCAATGATAATTTTGGCAAGCACAGATTTAGTGAAGTGATATGACCAAAGCCTGAGTTTGATTGGCTTTAAGAGAGAAAGGGCAGTGAGGAACAGGAATCTGATAGTTATGCTAGCTAGAATGTTCCTACATGCTATTGGGAAAGATCCAATGAGAATGAGAAATTGATGATATAGGTTATGAAATGAACCCCCTCACAACGTTACTCAACAACACAAATTATAAATTATTTTATTTTATTGATGTTTTTGGTTTTTGACTAAGACTTTGTTAAGAGATGGTACAACTCACTAATATACCCTTTGCTTAAATATAGTGTCCACCAGTATATAGCAACTCAAAAGTATGGAACTAATGGATGGAGAAGGGAGAAAAATAGAGAGAAAAATAGAGGGT